CCCCCCCCCCCCCCCCCCCCATCAAAATTAACAGTTTCTTCCTCGTGTGTAAACTCACATTCTTATTATAAGGAATGGAGAATAAAATATGATAAACATTGGATATGTATACACAAAATGGTTCCTCTAATAATTCTGTAACCGAAAAAAGAGAGTGTAACATTACCAAAGACGATGAGAAGGTCAGTTCTACTTATAATTAAAGCTTTCTATTCCAATTATGCCCCCCCCCCCTTCCTATTTTAAAGGTACCAGTATGTGCTGGAATTACTCTCATAATCACGCTTGTGTGTTTTAGGGTTCTGGGTTACACACCAATATTGCTTTAAAAGAAAAAAAAAAGAAAAAAAAAAGGTAACGATATCATTCTAGGTAGCAGTATCCATAAAGTTGAGCTTTTCTCTAACAAGCGCATGCCTAAACATCTGGAAAGGGAACTTCCTCTGACCATACCCAGGTGTCCGTTTCAAAGGTTAATTTTCTCTCGGGACAGATTTGACAATAAATACATGTACATGATGTATTTGGAATCTGAGAACGATTTGAATACATGTATGTGCGGTTTGAAAAGAATGTTTCGTACTCACCTGATGAGGTCAGTACCGTTCGACTCAAAAGGTAAGTATAGTGTTTTATATGACAAATCCTCGGAATGTATTAGAAGACCTTTTGTCTGAAACAGAGCAGACGGGCAGCGTGAGGAGTAACCAAGAAAGTTGCTGAACGAGGTGCAGGAACAGTGCAACAATGTCAAAGCCCCCCTAAGGACCGTACGGCACATTAAATTAAGAAAATGATATAAGAAAATAGTTATCAACGGAGTTATTCTACAACCTATCAAAGCAAAGTTACATATACATTGTTGTATTATCAGTAAACTTGTTTAAAAAAATTAAATTACAAAGTATTCGAAAGAGCATGAAATGCCCTTACCCAGATGTAAGTAGCCGGTACGGATGCGTGCAATTCAAAATATGAATCCAAGGTTTGGGGTCTTATTTATTTATGTATTTATTTATTTGAGGGGGGGGGGTCCTTTTAAAGAACAGGATACCAAACATTTTGATATATTATTAATCCAGCGAAAAAATGTAATGTTGGTTACACGATTCATAACCCTGAAAAATGCCTTAGAATTTAGATTCGGGGAAAATGTGATAGGAAGACCCATCTCAGACATCAAACTGAAATATTACTAACCTTATCGTGGTTTGTAGAGAACGTGTTCACAAGAGCCTGCCCATTCAGGAAAAGCAGACTGAGGGACAGAGTGCTGGCGTTCTGGATCTGCCTCAAGACGTCTTTCTGCGTGGTTTTCTCCAAGTTCAATAAGTTGACAAACTCATCCACTTTTGGTGCCGCATTCTTGCCTGTGTTTTCCTCCCCGACCTGAAGAAGGAAGTTCTTCAACAAGTTGTAAGAAATAATAATGGCTTTTTTTTCTCAATTCTGTCATAACAGTTATAATCGCAAACAAAATAGCTTGCCTAATGTAACCACACTTAATGATACACACGCAGACTGTTTCAGTTTACAATTGAATCATAAATTTGAGCCTGTCAAAAATAATGTTCTAAAAGAGGTCTTGTCAAAAAGTTCTACTCCTTTTAATCGCACGAAAACGACAACCACGTGCACTTACTTCACTGTGTTGTTGAAAGATATTATCCTGACTCTGATCAGGCATACTGGAGGGTGGCTTGAAAGAGGATTTTAGTCTTTTACTCTTAGCGTTGATGATTGTGTTTTTCAGCGATGCCTTCTTGTCGACGGTGTTTTCACGAGATTTTTTGTCCTTGTCTCGTCTAGATAGGAACACCGGAGCTGGCAAAGAAAATCGTGGTCATTAGCAGGCCTCTTTTAATCTGTGTGTAATTAATTATAATTACAAATCAGTATGGAATGTATCTACTTTTTTTTTCTTTTGGCGTCAACTCTTTTTACCCATGAAAACTAATGCTACATAGAACCGTGTAAATGGAATCAAGCAACATAGGATGAAAAGAGCAAATTCTTGTTATGTGGGCTTTTGGTTGTGAAATAAAAAATCTGATTAGAAAGTGTATCGGCGCTTTATCGGAAGAACTGAAAAAAAATATAGATTTCGATTAAAACCACGCGAAAAACCTTTGAAAAGTTAAAAGAAATGGGAATCCGAGAAAGCTTTGAACTCTAATAGAACGCTCTAACTATGGATTGAGTGAGCGATATTTAAAAGGAAAAGCATACCCGATCTTCAGTATTTTGAATTTTAAAAATCTAACTTGCACAGTATAATACGAGGGATAAAGATACCATAACATTTTAGTGTGTCTGAACACTTCTGCACGTCCTACTTACCTAAGCGAACTGCGTGAGACTGGGAGACCACGGGTGATTCACTTAGGATGCGTTCTGGCAGATTTCTGCTGTATGACAAAGGCGGAGGAATTGATTTGAGTCAGTTAATTTTATCTCTCCATTTTGAGTACATACCGAGGCAAAGGGTGGTAAATGAAGAAGAACAGAAAAGAGACATTCTCACCGTAAGTGTGTGTGCGTGAGTGTGTGTGTGTGTGTGTGTGTGTGTGTGTG